GCCATCACGGGAGTTCAGCTGGACAGGCCAGTGTCCTTGGACGCCTCACTCATGTAATTGTTTAGCTGAGGCTCCCATCACGGAAATAAATAAATGTGCTGCATGCTCATCATGATCACAATTTGCATCTATATTACGCCCCTGGTTGGAGGGTCTGCAGTTGGTTACTGGTGATGAACTGCTGCTGTGTGAGTACGGTGGTGCGTGTGCCTACGCACGCACGACGTCGCCGCGATCAGGTATTTATTTAATAACTACCAGGCCGTAACCGGGGTTTCACGTAACTGCGCTTTAAGAGGAGGCAGGAAAGTTGAGCGGAGGCTTCCCAACTGTCGAACGAAACATTCATTCGCCAGAGATGCTGGGCTGGGGGTTGATGCGCTGCAGTCGCTGTGGCTGGCGGGCGGTGGGAGTGGTTCAGCTAAGGAGCTGCTCCTGCCCGGCAGGCGGGCCTAGAACGCAGGTGCCAAGCCCCCCAACAGCAGGCCCAAAACGTGGAGACACCCAGCGGCCTGTTTGTCTGGTGGAGATCCCGTTCAGGCCGCCCACCAGTTTCACCCAGGCCCACCTCCACGGTGGCAAACGAGGTCTGGTTACAACTTTTTACAGTCTGTGGAGTAGAAGGTGGTTAGATTTGCTTTGCAAGGCTGGGTCACTTGCTTTGAAGCTGCCTCAGGACAATGGGCCTTGGCCACGTTCCAGGGCCAGGGGCCTTCCTTCCTGGGCCTCAGGTGACCTCAGCGCAGCCTGCAGAAGCATCACCTGTGCTTGCCTCTGGAAAGCGCCAGGTCCCCGGGCTGGCGACCGGCTGCTCCAACGGTTCTCAGCCCGGGTTTCCGGGGCCTGGTCCTTCGCATCCGGGCGCAGAGGGAGCTTTGTGCAGAAGGAGCCCAGAGAATCCCAGGACCTCTGGGACTGGGGATGGAGATGGTTTTAATTAGAGCTGAGAGATGGGAAATAAGGCAGAGAGGGATGACATCTTAATGAGGTTTAATGAAGCTGTCTGCTGGTGAGGACAGCTGCCACCCAGAGCTGTGTCCCAGCCAAGCCCTGTGCTATGGCGCAGGCTCAGAAAACAGGCACAGTGGGAAGGCTGCGGGGGAGGGTGGGCAGCTCGGACCGAGGCTGGGGCTCTGCTCCTCATCCACCTCTTGATTCTAACACCTGGGTGACAAGGGACTCGGCCAGTGGGTCGCAGCTGAGTAGCTTCGATATTTCACAATCCCCACCTTGCTAAGCTGTGCCTCTCAAAAGACCTCGAGGATTTTGCACCCACTGTCTTAGAATCCAGCCATAAATATGAGACCTGCAAGGAGGGCTTGTATTTGAGGGCTCAGAGGGGTTCACCCATCTGTTCCGTTTCTGAGCCTCGATTTCCCTCTGTACAGCCGTGACAGTGTGGCCCCTCCTGGAGAGCAGTTGAGGGGTGCTGCGGTGTAAGTGCCGGGCTGCAACATCCGAGAGCTGCACTGAACAACAGCTCTTTCCCCGACTACCTGGGTGGCGTGGGGCAAGCGTGAACCTCTTTAAGGGTCAGATCTCCCAGCTGTAAAATGGGAGACCTACCTCACAGAGGGGCTGGCAGAGTTCAAGGAGAAGTACAGAGAGCTCTCAGGACGCAGTAAGTGCTCACTTAGGGGACTTGCTGACCGAAGTCTCAGGAAGAGATGCTCAGTAAACATGACGCTGCTCCTCGTTTCTTTGCTTCTGCAGTAAAGACAGTGGGGGGGGGTTCTGAGGGGTCCCTTGCAGGGAGGAGTCTCCCAGGCCTCGTGGCCCAACAGCACCCCCCCCCAACCATTTGCCCCAGGACCTCTGCATGTCCCAGCCTGAGCGCTGAGGCCCCTTCTGCCTCTGGGCTGTCCTGCATCCTGTCCTGGGCAGGTGGGCAGTCTACTTGGGAACATAGGCGGCCGATCAGAGCTGAGCCTTGTGACCACATCTAGTCAGTTTCATGGAGACGAGGTTGGGACTGCCCATGGAGAGACAGGTGGCTGGTACCATCAGGCCTTGAGTCCCTGGCATTTTAATGCCCATTGATCTCAGACGCCTGTCCCAACCAGCTGGCCTGTGTCTAGAAGTTCAGGGCCAGCGGTTTCCCCAAGGTGCCCAGAGAACTGCAGACCCTCTGTCAGCAGGGTTTTCTCCGCGGGCTTCTGGAAGGCCTTTCGGGTTGTTTCCAGCACGTGGCTGTGCCACACCGAGGTGCTACGAGCGTTCTCACACACGCCCCCGTGAGGACACGGCCCTCGTTTCTGTGGAGGTCCGGGGCGGGGGGGGGGTGCCATCAGGTCGGCCTACGTCCAGCTTTAGTCAGTGCTGCTCAGCCGTTTCCCAGAGTGGCCGCACCGGCTCAGACCCCCCGCCCAGTAGGTGGATGTTCCACTTGCTCCATATCTGCACTGCGAACACTGAGCTCTTACTTCGTGTTTCCCAGAGGCTGCACACTTTAACTTACAGGTCTTGGCTACTGGGACATCCTTTTAATGACATGCCTATTCAAGTCTTTTGCTCATTTTTCTATAGGACAATCTGCCCTTTTCTTGTTGATTTATAGCAGCTCTTTATATATGATGGATAAGAGCCTTCTGTCAGGTACATGTATTGCAAATATCTTGCTTCGCTCTGTGGACTTGACAGGTTTTTAGAGCTGGTGGCGTCCTGTTCAGCTGTCCTTCTTGCAAGAAGATGAACTCATAGGGCAGGGGCTGTCTTTGTCCAGCTTCGAACCCTGGGGACAGGGCATGCTGAGCAGAATAAGTAGCAAATGAAGATGTGTGGAGTGAAAAAATGAGTGAACTCCCCCTGGGGGGATCTCTGCAGCCTAAGGCTCCGTGTGCGCTGGCGGCTGTGGATTCCCAGGCGCGCGGAGAGCGAGGAGCCCGCCTCATCCCCGCCCCTCTGCCCGCCCAGAGAGACAGCCAGCTCCTGAGTCTGTCTGTCATCCCTCTGCCAGCTGGAAGTGTGCCCACCTGCACCTGCCCTGGGGGGGCTCTCCCAGAGAAGTCACATTTTAATTAACTTCCCCAGCAGTCATCCGAGAGGCCAGATCATTTTCATAAGCAGATGAGTAGCCAGGGCTTTGTCTGCGGCTCCAAGTGCGTCAAAGGAAGGAAGTCAAACAAACTGCCTCGCGGGGCTGTGGGCACCCGGCTGGAACTCGGGACCCTGGGGCTCTCGCGGGAGGCCAGGCCTGGGGCTCGAGAAGGGAAGGAGGCGGGAGAAAGCCGACCCGGCTCCGTGGACAAAGGAATGGACAGAGTCTCCAAGTAGGCCTTTTGCTCATTCGTTCCCCACCATCCCCACCATTTTCCGGCATCTTTTCCCCACTGGGCCTTGGGAGAAGAGGGTGAAGACAAGGCCCACAGGGGGCCGAGGGGGACGCTCGTCCCTTCTGCTCAGTTTCGCTGTGAGCCTAAAACTGCTCTGAAAAGGAACCTATTTGTGAGAACAAAATTTTAAATGAACCTGAAAATAAGTAAATCGGGACTGAGCCCAGTGTCCTGGGGCAGACAGGTTTCAAACTGGCGGCCACACAATCGCTGGCAGGACTGCGCTGCTTTGTGATTTTCAGTGGCTCCGCCGTGACATAATTCAGACGCCATCCCAGGTGCCCACGCACAACCCAGCGGATTTTGGTGTGGTCACAGACCTGAGCCGCCAGCACCACAAGTGATTTTAGGACATTTCCATTACCCCCGAGAGGAGCCCAGCTCCCCTCAGCCACCCTCCCAAGTTGCCCCATTCCCCACCCCTCTCAGCCACAGGCGACCACTAATCTACTCTCTGCCCCTACGGGTTTGCCTGCTTGAGACATCTCATGGAAGTGAAATCATACGCCATGTGGTCCTTTGTGACCGGCTTCTTCCGTGACCACCATGTGGTCAAGACGCATCCAGGCTGTAGCAGGTATTACTGCGTCATTTTGAAAGTGCCCCGAGGTGGCGTGTAGGGCCCTATGATGTCACACGCGAGGAAGCTCGTTTGGACTGGGGGCAACCTGAGAGGGCTTCCCAGAGGAAGAGGTTTTCATCCCAGGCATTTATTGAGCACTTGCTACATACCATCAGCAAAGGAAGGCAGTAGAAGTCATGGGCCGGGCTGTGTAGGAATGTACCCTCCAGGCGGGCTGGCCTGCGCACTCACGGACACCCAGGTCACTTCAGTTCTAGGCCCCAAGTGAGCATCACCAGACCGTAAACATCATCAGAGCCAGGTGAGGGAGCAGCTGCGGTGAACTCGGGGGGTCCAGAGAACTTGAAGAATGAGGACCAGTAGGGAGGGGGGGCCAGGGACTAAGGGCCTTCCAGGAGGCTGGGCTGCCTGGGGACCCTTCAGGGAGTGGACCAGGCTGGGCCACCTAAACTGCAGGGCCATGTGGGGGAGTCTGGGAGCTGAAGCTGCAGGGAGGCGCGGGGTTGGAGGGCACAGGCCCAGAGGGTCAACCCCAGGGAGGGGTCTGCGGAGGGTCCCTGATCCCTTACTGGTGTGTGCTCGGGTCCCTGGGAGCCAGGGGATGGGATGTCGATGAGATAGGAAGAGGAGGAAGAGGGAGGACTGAGAGGAGCGTAAGAAAAACCGAATGTTGTACCTGGAATGTGGAACCCAGCACGTGCCCATTGAAGGTGAAGAAGGTGATGGCCACCCAAGCACCATGTGGGAGAGGACCCTGAGCCTGGGGACCCCCGGAGTAGCCGGGGTGCCACATGAGCTCCACCTGGAGGACAGGCGGGCCTGCCCCCCAATCCTGCCCCATTGCTTCAGAGCCCCAGACAATGGCTCTGCCTCTCTGGGTCTCGGTTTCCCTATTTGTAAAGTGGGGAATTTAATGTGATTGAGAATCCACAGAGCAATGTCCTTCCACACCCCAGTGGCCCCGAAGGTTGCCCACAGGGCCTGGGCAGGACAGGCGTCCGGGGCCTCCCTGTGGCTGAATTTGCTGAGAAACGGCTGGCCTGAGATTCCGCCCCCCACCTTGCTCTCTCTGCTTCCCCCAACAGGCTGAGCTCGGGAAGCCCCGGGAGAGAAGCTGCAGCCTTCCTGGCATTGACTTTAATTACGGACTCTACACCCGGGGGCTGGATGGAGGGGTCCCTGAAGGTGAGCATGTGGGTGGGGCTGGAGCCCTTGACCGAGGCTGGCCATGAGGCAGCTGGCCCCACTCCGGGGAAAGAGCCCAGGGGCCTGTCCTGCAGCACAGGGCGGAGGCCACGGCCTGGGCTGGGCTGAGACAGGGAGGACCAAACAGCACCGGGGCCGAACGTGTCAGGGAAATAGGAAGGAGCTCAGCCCCTGTGGAACCCTGTCCTCAGGCCAGAGTCTGTGCTCTGCGCCATTTTAGCTGCGAGCCCAGAGAGGGCTCAGGACCCACCCTCTGACCACCCACAGGAGGTCAAGGCCAGGCGCACCCGCTCCCAGCAGCTGCCATCTGGAACCTTTGGGAGCCAGGCAGGGCTGCCCCATGGCAGGCTCCAGGTCGACAGGAAGACACGGGGCCCCTCGGGCCCCCCATCTTCCTAGTCGGACAGCAGGGACAGCTTTGCTTCCCAGACCGACCCCGTGCTGTGACCTGTCTCTCCCTGTCCTCAGCCATTGGACACTGGAATGAGTTCAAGCAGCAGCCCATCTGTTCCCAAGAGCTGGCTCCGAATTACATCGCTATGAACCGTGGGGCAGTGAAAGCTGGCCTGGTAACTGCCCGGGAGAATTTCCTCTACCGTCAGCTCAACTTCGTCCGCATCAGTGACAAGGACGAGCGGCGCTTCAAGAAGGAGCCGCCCTTTGTCCCTCCAAACATGACGTTCGGCATCCGGGCACGGTAAGGTGGCTGACACCATAGGCCCATCCCTCCCCCTGGTAGGCTGGGGAGGGGCGCCTAGCGGTGACTGAATTAGTGACTTACATGGGAGCAGGGAGGGGCTCGTAATCCGGCCTGGCCAATCAGTGTCCTTCCTGCACAAACCTTGGTCACAGTGACTGGTCCAGAGGCCATCGGGTGGCCCGTCCCAACCCTGGCACTCATGGCATCCTATAGAAGTAGAGCGTGGCTGCACATCGTCAGTCTCAACTCAAAGAGCCTTGGTTTTTTTAAGGGCAGTCTGGTGGCTCACGTAGTTGAAAAGCCCACGGCAGAGCTTCGGGTGTAGCTGGATCCAGGCGATCGGGCAGCGTTGTCAGCATGCGGGCATCTCCCACATCTTGGCCATGCTTCGCAGTTTTGGCTCTGTTCTCTGACAGGCTTCTTCCTCCTGTGACAAAGGAACTGGGATCAGTTCCATCCTGTCCCCTCCGGGACCCCAGAGGGAAGGGTGTGGGGAGCACAAAAGCCTGGCGACTGAGATGCTTTGGGCCAACTTCCTGCCCTCCCTGTCCCTTAACCAACCACTGTGAGCAGGGTTTGTGGAATACACTGATTGGCCAGCCCTGGGTCACATGTCTGCCTCTGAGCCAATTGCTGAGGCCTGCGGATTCTGGTGCCCTGATCAGCCAGGCCTGATCCCTTGCCCCTCCTTGGCCTAGAATGCTTATACTTTAAAATATAGAGTATTAAAACACACAGACATTCGCAGTCACCTATTTAAAACGGGAAAATAGAAGCTCAGGGAGGTGGAGAGACTTCCCCGAGGCCACCAGAGCAAGCTGTGGCCTGACAAGAGCCAGCCCCAGACTCAGGCTGGTGGACTCCCCGCCCAGTGCTCTTCGCTCCTTCTTCCACGCCCCGCCTCCTCGGGACTGAGGTACGGCGGCGCGGCGCCCACAGTTTCTGCTCCTGGGGCTCCGTTTTTCTACATACAATGGAAAAGCTTGAGCCAGCTGGGTTCAGAAAGGCTATCCATTATCATCGAGCTTTCAATATAAAAATCTTAAATTGCCATAAAACTGAGTGGCTGCAGTTCCCGGGAAGGCAGGTGATGGAGTGCCGGCTGTATCTTCTGTGATGGTAAATGGGCTTTGCATATGCAAATTGAATGGATTTTAAAATGGTATTTAATGACAATTTTCGTAGCAGACGTTAACATTAATTGCACAGAAATGAAAATGCTGCATTAGGTTGCTGTTAGCGGCAAATATCGCGGCCATAAAGCTTTATCTTTATCAACAGCGGCGCTCGCCGATTTGACAGGGCAGCTCAGGAAATTGCGAGCCAAAGGGCTTTTACGGAGCAAAACTAGCCCCCAAAGCGGACCCCAATCAGCATCAATTTCGCTTTATTTCTCCGTAAATGGAGGTTAAATGGCCACAGCAAAAGCTTTTACTGAGAGGCCCAACCCGCCTGCTAGGCCCCTCCACCTCGAAACATAAATACAAGGAGCGGTTAAAAAACCATCGCCCTCCGTAATGTGGCTATTACTTTAAAGTTACGGGCCGAGACCCATTCCAAAATGATCACCTTTTACAAGCCTCGGGTGTATTTATTTCTCTGCTTTAAAAGCATGTTTAAAATCAAGTCCGATCCTGCCCGGCAACCCGAGGGGCTGTTGGGGTGATCTGCTCCAATGGATAAAGAAAGAGACCAATGAGCCCCGTCTACTCGCACCCCCAGATACGTTAAAACATCAAAACGAAGTCCCACCTTAGACCAAGTGCAAGAGGAGGTCCCTGGAATTTGGGGGTGCGAACGAGCTCGGAAGTTGTCCGAGCCGCGCGAGATGGGATTCCGACTGTGGCCCTGCCCCCCGCCCCCAGCATCTCGCCCTCTCGCCCCTTGTACATTTTACAACGGACAAAGCAGACAGATGGCATGGGCACCGCACACCTCAACCCGCCTGCCGCCCCGCCTCTCGGTGCCAGATGGGACCGAAGCCCGAACGGACGATGGATGATCAGTCTCTTCCTCTCCAGTCAGCCCGTCCGGCTCCCCATCCACACCACGGCTTACAGATCGCCCCCCCGTTGGCCAGGCACACTTGGGTCCACCCACGTCCGTGGCCAAGAAGAAGTGGAGACCGAGGCTGTCATCTGGAAGAGGGGCCCCATGAGCACGGAGATGTTTGTCTGGCACAGGCAGTAATTTTTTTTTAACTTTTTTTTAATGAGTCACCACATTTTAGAAGTCAGATTTCATGTAAACACTTGGATTTCCCGGTTCTCTTAAGAGGTCTGAGCTGGGACAACCTGCATGGGTGCTCCTGCCTGGTGCCCCTTTGGACGGAACCCACACACGCTTTTCTGTCATTCCCAGCCACCCACCGCCAGCCCCTGACCCTCATGTCCACCACCTGCCTGGTCCAGCTGGGTACTGAGTTTGCGGCCACCGATAACCAGTGGTCATCGTGATCCTTCAGCTGACTGCCGCCTCTTTCTGTCCTCTGATCTCGGTAGGGGCCACTCGACTGACCGGAAGCTGCCGTGACATGAGCTCATGTGCAGCGGGCACTGTGATACATAATTGCCAACCCGGACATCGTCCTCTCAAGCAGGCAGCATTCCGAGAGAGTCACAGGGCAGGGCAGGGAGGGTGCTGCAGGGGGCAGAGCCTGGGTCCGCACCCTGCCCACCGGCTGCTTTGAGGGCCACACCTCCAGCACCAGGCGGCCGGGCCAGCCCCTGCACTCTCGGGTCTCAGACTTCAAGTCAGGGGAGAGTCTTAAATTTCCATTGCTGGAGGGGAGAGGCGCAACTCAGATCTCAAAGCATGCTGCGACCCAAGGTTCATCAACAGGCGTGTCAGAGGTCAGAAGTGTCACTATTAGACAGGCACTTAATCATTGATGCATTTTAATAAGTGTTTGCAAATGTTCACATTCCCTCAGCACATCTTAATTGTTATTGCTCCTAATTGGCCCAGCCTTGTCCATTAGGATGAGTGAGGGACGAGGGGGAGTGGGGGAGGAGCAGCAAGATCGAGGCAGCAGCTGGAGCTTCTGGCAGATTCTGGCCACCCAGGGCTCGGCCACCACCCTGCCTGGAGCCTCATGCCACACACAAGGCAAGGATGCTACTAGGAGGACCCGTCCCTCTGTCAACGAGCAAACAGCCCCTGCATGTCGGGGTCTGACATGAACCAGATGGAAGGTGGGTGGACCGGGCTCTGATCTAATAATGGCAACTGTGTATTACTGTTACTCTTACAAGTCAACTGTGTGTTACTGTTACACTTACAAGTCAACTGTGTGTTACTGTTACAAGTCAACTGTGTGCTACTGTTACTCTTACAAGTCAACTGTGTGTTACTGTTACAAGTCAACTGTGTGCTACTGTTACTCTTACAAGTCAACTGTGTGTTACTGTTACAAGTCAACTGTGTGCTACTGTTACTCTTACAAGTCAACTGTGTGTTACTGTTACAAGTCAACTGTGTGTTACTGTTACTCTTACAAGTCAGATGTGGGCTGGGCACCCAGGATGCCTCCTCTTCTTACCTAACTCTGAACCACGTCACCAAGAGCGAGCTGGGGACTGGTCATCCCCGCCTGACGCAAGAAGAGGCAGAGGGTCAGACAGGGGAAGTCGGTTGCCCCTGGCTGCTCTGTGTAGGGATGGGGATCGGCCTGGCCTGAACACCTGTGGCGGTGCCCGTGGCGCTGATCTGCCTGCCCAACACGCGTGAGGAAGGAGCTGGCACAGGTCGAGACGTTACCTTCGTTTTTCCTCCTCCAGAGGGGACCGAGACGGGCTACTTCGACATTGTGTAAGGCTGCCCTGCGTGGGTTTTTCTGAAAGCGTTCAGCTAACCCTGAACACATCAAACGAGTCCCATGCACTTCCCTTTTGATGTGTCCTTCTCTTCACCTTCACCTTCGGTGGCTTCTACGTCCCAGTAAACAAACTCCTTGATGGGGCACCCGGCCCCTCCCCTGCGCTGGGTGCTCACCCCAGCGTCCCGACACTGGCCACGGCGCCCTCTTGCAAGAGGCCTCGGAGAGTATTTGCCAAATGGACAGAGAACCGCGTTGCGGTCTGAGTGCAAAGACAGTAGCAGCAGCAGGGTGCCACCTGGGCAGAGCTCTTGGTCCGGCCCCTCCAGTCCCGGAGCTGAAAGTGTGCAGACCACAGGAAGAGGGGACGCACGTGGACGGCAGGAAACAGCGCCCGCCCAGCCGTCAGACGCGTCGTAGCCCGACACTGACAAGTGCGAAGGGTGGAGGAAATTCTACAGGCTGTTAAAAAAATGTTTTCTGCCTGACAGGCTTTTTGAATCTCCCTGCCAAGCTGATTTATTTCACAAATTTACAATGGGCCCATCCATCACTCTGGGTTATTTTGTTTTCCCTGGAGCCAACGGCCAAAAGCCCAGCCACCCACCCGACACCTCTGAAATAGTAACAAGCCTCTTCCCAGGCAACCGACCCCAGGATCCATGGCTGTTTCTGAACCGGCTTCAGGCGGTGTACTGGCGGCCTGAAGCCCGGCTGAGTGAAACGGGGCTGACCACAAGGGGGAGCAGGTGGGCCTCGCAAACAGCCCCTGACAGGCCCCTGGCGCCTGGCAGAGAAGGCCCTGCCCCCCAGCCTGCTCTGTAGCCCGCACAGCAACTGCGGTTAAAGAAGAAGGCTGGCTGGATTGATTTTGTTGTTGTTTGACATTAAAATAATGCAAAAGTGATACTCCTTCCGTATAAATTGAGCTTTGATTTTTGAATTTTCTTCCTTTCTTGCAATCCTGAGCAGGGCAGGGACCACGCAGGTAGACAGGCGGCACTCCACAGGGCGGGATGACATGCTTTTCCCACTTAAGATGTGTTCCACTGACCAGGGCTCCACCCCAAGTGGAGGGGCGTCTGCGGTGAGTCCCAGTAATGAACGGTCGGCTCGGACGAGCACAGGTGGGGGCCTGGCTTAAGCCTCCGTTTATCCATGGGGAAACTGAGGCACGGCC